GTTATTTACTTGAGGTATATTTCAAATGTAAACAACTAAATAAAATATATAAAAAATAAAAAGAATGAAGTTTTTATTAATTATTTGTATTGGATTGATTAAAAAGTTTCTTCAGATTTGTCGATGAAAATAAATGTAAAATTATTTTTTAATTATTTTTAAATAATTTTAAATATTTGAAAGTTATTTTGATGACTGTTTATGAAAAAACTTACAATATAAATGTAGTAAATGTTTGATATACTTGATGTAGTACTATATAGGTACATATACTATTCAATAAATTAATTGGAATTGTAAAAAAGATTGTTTCTTTTGCATTTATGTTTTTATATTTCTTTTATTCAATGTACGGTAATATTTTCAACTTTACGTCTGCTTTTGTAAAATTGTTTGCAAAATAAACATTTCAAATTTATGTTGATAACGCGTTTATTTTCACAGTATAAGAACATTACACTTGCTTGAAGAATATGTCAAAAAAATATATTTGCATCAAACTTTTCAAAAATACAAATTATATACTATTAATTTAAATTTAATAATTAAATTCTGCAAATAAAAACAGTTCACAAGCACTATGTGCCACGCTATATTAAAAAATTTTCTCAACTTTTCAATTATTATTATTATGCAGAATTTTAAAACAAGAATTGGTGAATAAGTATACATTTTTATTTATTACTTTTGAAGAAATTTTTAATAAATTCTTTTCGAGTATCCAGGTAGAAATTTTGTCTGGAAACAATCAAGGCCCTATATATTTTTTGAAAAATATTTCTGGGATCCAGATGGAAAATCTAGCTAGGGCCTATAAAGTTTGGGACGTCTAAATCGAACAGGCTATCACTGAATTCTGGTCGGCCCTATATTACGCCCGGAATTTGTCCAGAAAATTTATCTGGAATTTTGCTAGGACCTATAATTTTCCTAGATATTTGCTTGGTTTGAACTATAATAATTTCTATAATCCAGTCTGGTCCAAACTAAATCTAAATTTTTTTTCTAAAACATTCCCTGGAGTCCCAGCTGGGCCAATATACAATTAATTAATAATTAAACATATATATATATATATTATGTATTAATAAAAATAAACATTATTTATGTAGCAAAGAAAATATTACTATTTGTCTCAACAATCCAGCCTATTTCTTATATAAAACACTCCTAAGCCAGAGCTATGGGCGGCTCGGCCGCCAGCGGCCGGGCGGTAATGGATGATCAAAAAGCGTGGTCTCGGGAATCGGCCCGAAATGTGCAACTAATTCCGAGCGCTGTTCAAGATTAATAATTTATACTTTAAACTTTGCTATCAAAGTTAGCATAATTTACTACATTAATGTTAAATGATGACTTTTGTAATTATTTAATATTGATGTGGTGAATGTTAAATAATGATGAATGTTAAATAATGACTACAGTTATTATTTAGTATTCACCAGGGTCATTAATGTCGCAAATCCGTCTCTCGTTTTTCGTCACCGCATATCTAAAATTTTCTTTCCTTTCTCGTTCTCACAGTTTCAAAAGAAAACAAGATTTGGAATCATTAAATACTGTAGAAGTGGCATACATCATATATATGTATATTTTTTCAAACATTTATATATTAACTTAATCTGTGTATTTAAAAACAGGCATTTCTTAAACTCCAATAGCACTTACTTCAAATCATCATATATTTTATATTTTTAATTTTCGGACTTTTTGCCAGAGGAAACTTTAATCAGCACCACCTAAACTAAAACATATTTCAATTTCAGCCAATTTGACCAAACCCACTTTTTTCATATCAAATGTCCGAGGTCCTTTATAATTGTGTCCATCTTTTATGATATTAAATATGAATGTAATTCGGTATCCATTTTTTAAAAGAATTCTCACTATCTCTGTTAAATTCTTTTGGTGGGGTTAGATGGTGGGTGAGATAGTGAGATGGCTTTATCTCTATTGAACTCATAATCACGCTTCTTTTTACGTAATCGAATGTTGACAAAAGAAAATTAAAAATCTCTCCGAAAATGGGTTTTTTTATATCAGTCAAACACAATGCACCCATCTTTGACAATCAATTCCACATCCAGAAATTCAAATGGCCTCCCTCATCTATTTCTATTGTCAATTGTATTCTTTCATGATATGAATTGAAAATCTGTAACATTTGATCCATATAATTTCTCGGAGCAGCTAGGATTATGTCGTCCACACATCTAAGATGAAACGGTGGATGAAATGTAAGCTTATTTATCATTCTCTCCTTTATGTCACATAGAGTCATAACAGTGTCAGCGATGATGGATGAGAGAGAACAGCCCGTAGAACTCCCAAAAAGTTTGATTATAAATGTTACAGTCAAATATAAAATATGTGGAACTTAATATAAATCTAATGGCGCATGTAAATTCATCTTGAGAAAATGTTGTGTTTTTTAAAATAAGATTCCAATTTTTTTGATACCAGAAATTGCTAGTTCAGTCGTAACATTAATGAATAATGATACCACATCGATATTTGACTACAATAACACTTCATTTTTAGTTTAATTCTATCACAACAATACACAATAACATTGTTAGATAAAATTTTATTTTTATGTATCCATCATACTTCATCAGCCGAAATTGTTAGAAACTAAAAAATCAATCAGTTTTACCGCAATAAATAATCGAAAAATCTCTAAAAACAGTTTTTATTATTTTTGCAGCACTATAAGTGTTATTACCTAACATTTTAAACAAAAAATGGAAAATTTTTTTTAATGAAAATACCAACAATAACATTATTCAAAGCGTATCACGGTTATACGATCAGATTCTTAAAATAAAACAAATTAAAATCCGCTGAAGCCACACACATTTGAAAGCAGTTTCAAGATTTATAATGCTTTGCTCCGAATTAAATACGATGATTTCTCATGTAGTTACAATGCTTTGAAAATTGTCGTATTTGAACAATTTTTCTTGATTCTTTAATTGTTGTTCATAGAGAATTTTGTATTTATATTATCAAATAATTTAGTCTTATATAATAAATATTTACTAATAAATAATAATAAATAAAAAATTATAATACAACCAATAAATTTCAATTAGACATATTTTACTTACGTTACAAAACTAGAAAATAGAAATATGAAATGTATGTACATATGGTCACAAAAATGACTTAACACATAAACTTGCAGGTGTGAATTTCACAAGCCAATTCAAATGTGCCGTGATCTGCTTTGACATATTAAGGCATTTCTGTGTCTATGTGTACAGCGGAAACGATACTATATTCGTAAGTTTAAACGTCCCCCAAACTTGACGAAATGACTAATCACGTCATCTTGCTTATAAAAACTGTGCTTCAGCGCTTTATCGCCCAGTCTTCAAACAATATTCAACATTACAGTGACACAGTGCATTTTCAAATCCAAATATCATAAAAAGACATCGCAACAAGTAAAAGCAAATAAAATAAGATAAGTATATTTGCATCAAAATTTTCTGCATTAGTATATCCAATAAAACAATTAGAATTATGGATACCGAAGAAACATATCAATCGTACATTAATACCGAATTCAGTGACGAAATCGTTATTTCTGGTATCGCTGGTAGATTCCCAGGCTCAGACAATATAAAACAATTACAAGAAAAATCTATTCAACAAAAATTAATACTTCTTAAAGCAAATCATTCTCGATGGAATATAGGTAATTAATTTATAAATTATAGTTCTGTATTTATATTTAACTGAGATTAATGGTTTTTCATTTGTCATTAATTACAGTAGATAATTCAACATTTCAAAGACATACTTTAAACTATAGGTTTACAATATTAAATATACAAAACACAAAACAGTTACAATTTACAAATATATATTTGATAGAGCATTCAAACTTACCAACTCGCATGGGAACAATTAATAATCTGGAAAAATTTGATGCTGATTTTTTTGATATATCTTTCAAACAAGCAAATATACTTGATCCTATGATAAAAATGTTACTGGAACACACTTACGAAGCAATTGTCGATGCAGGGATCAATCCAAAACAATTACGAGGAAAAAATACTGCAGTAATTATAGGGACGAGTTTCCTTGAATCACAAGAGACATTTTTGTATAAAAATTTACAGGTGAAACAAATCATTGATTGATATAGATAGTAAAAAATAATTTTAGATAAATTATAATAATTATTCATTACATGTATAAATTTATTATTGCTTAAATATCGCTATTAGATAAGCAACATAAATATTTTTGAATGCAGTGAACCCACAGTGGCAAATATGTTTTCATATTTTGGATCTAAAAAGACCACGAAATAAAAAAAAGTTATTGCTTTATCAACATATAACAGTACAAAATAATTACATTAAATTATTTAGATATTGATTTTTGTAATTACATGACCTATATAAATATATCACTATTTCCTGTAAATTAGATAGACGACGGAACCATTGCAGGATGCACCAAATATGCAGCAGCAAATACTCTATCTCATTTATTCCATCTAAAAGGACCATCCTATACAATGGATAGTGCTTGTAGCTCTAGTCTATACGCTATCGCAGTTGCATATGATTGTATTATGTCAGGCCGATGCGAGGATGCAATAGTTGGAGCCACAAATCTTTGCTTACATCCTATTCCAAATATGCAATTTTTTCGACTTGGTATTATTTTCAGTCAAATTACTTGATTTTATAATACAAGCTAATCTGATATACTATATTGAAAGAATACATACCGTACATAATTTTAGGTGTTTTATCTTCCGATGGATATTGTAGGCCATTTGATACTGCCGCAAGCGGTTATTCGCGTGCCGAAGCCGTGTCGGTAGTATATCTTCAAAAAGCTAAAAATGCAAAAAGAATTTATGCTGTATGTAAGCAGATTAAACTAAATAATGACGGTTACAAAGAACAAGGAATATTATTTCCATCGACACACATGCATAGTGCTTTATTAACAGAGTTTTACAATGAATGCGAAGTACCACCATCTTATTTGGATTACATCGAAGCACATGGTACTGCTACTAGAGCTGGCGACCCTGAAGAAATCAATGCTATCCGTAACGTTCTGTGTCAAAATAGAAAAACTCCATTGATGGTAGGATCCGTAAAATCTAATCTTGGTCATGCAGAACCTGCCAGCGGTATCACACAAATCGCTAAGGTAAAACAATTTATTTAAGAAATTATTTCATTATAACATACAGACAAACAATTTAGAATAACAAACAAATTAAGACATTTAAAACAAATTATCAAAATAATTCTTTTATGTAATTTGATACTTATATACTTTCAATGTAACATTTTAAAGACAGAAAGAAATATTTACAATAATGACTATACACATTGCTCAAAATGAATATTAAAAAGTGGTAATGTTTTTATTTAAATGTTATAATTACTAATTCCATCAATAAAATAGAATAAATTATATAAATTCTTCTTTATTTATTCAAAAAAGATTATCTTTTGATACAAATAGGCATAAAGATTTTTCTGTTGAAACGTTTAGTAGCAAATATTACATTCCGTGTTATTAATCTTTTACCTGTCTAACAACAACAAAAAAACCAAGTACTTAAGTATAATTAATTCAAACTTACATTTCAAAATTTAATAATTTTTATAGGTGATAATAGCATTTGAAACCGGTTTTGTACCGCCAAACATTAATTTTACATCACCGCGGAACGATATAGACGCCTTAATGGATGGAAGCATCCGTGTCATCACAGAAGCAATGCCGCTTAAAAATGGTTATGTAGGCATAAATTCTTTAGGTTTTGGTGGAGCCAATGCTCACATGTTATTACAATGGAATGTCAAGGAAAAGATTAATAATGGAGCACCTGCTGATGATTTACCAAGACTTGTGATATTGTCTGGACGCACGGAAGAATCAGTGAAATTGTTTTTAGATGATGTAACTATTTCAGCAACAGCACTAACATCGTTTTTAACAGCAAAAAACATTACATTACGTATATTACATAAATTTTTGAAACATTTATTTTGCAGATTGTCAATCATCCCATAGATATAGAATACATCCGTTTACTACACGACATTCACACAGACGACATAGATGGTCATTCATGGAGAGGATACATTATACTGGATTCTCGGCAAAAAAATTTCATACAAAAAATTCAAAATTGTAAAAGCATAAAACGATCTACTTGCTTCATTTTCTCTGCCTTTGCAGAATCGAAATGGCCAGAAATGGGTATGTATGCAACATTCAACATTTTTTATATGTACAAATTAAATAATAAAATAATACACGAATTTTCAAATTTTATCAGGTAAAGAGTTATTAAAATTTAACGCATTTGCAAATGCTATAAAAATGTGTGATAATATTTTGAAACCGTATGATATAAGTATCACAAATATTTTGACGAAAATGGATGTAAAATTAAAGAAAAGCACTTTACAAACATTTGTTGGTATCATCGCCATTCAGGTATTATACTTCGAAACTGCACATTAGTATATTGTATATACTAATAGACGCAAATTTGAGTTTACTAATACCTTTTTTATATTATGTTTGCTTTATTGTAAAATATGTTAATAATAAATATTATGTTTAATGCAATATATTTAATGATAAAATTGTTTATTAATTTTGTAGATTGGCTTAGTAGATCTTTTAACATCTGTAGACATTATTCCGGATTATATAATTGGTCATTTTGCTGGTGAACTTGGTTGTGCTTACGCAGACGGGTGTCTCACTATGGAACAAACTATTCTGTCAACGTACTTTATTGGTTTAGCATGTGTGAAAGAGAAACTAGTTCATAGCTCTACCGCAGTTATCAATTTGGATTCCAAATCTCTTAAAGATATATGTCCAGCGGATATTGAAATAATATGCAAAAACAACCATAACAACAATGTTGTAACTGGCCCCGCTAAATCCATTCAAGAATTTTTGCGAAAAATGCAGGTATGTTGATTTTTTATCTTCTATAAATTATAGATTTTTCTTTAATAATACGTAATGTATGTAGTGTTTTTCTTAATAGTCAACTAATAATTTAATTTTTAATATTAATTTTCGCATTTATTAATATATATTTATTATTTTTTTATTATCAGAACAACAACATTGACGTGAAAGCAATCTCCTGCAACAACATACCGCATCACAGTCGTTACCTCGCTTCTCTGAAATCGCAGATTTTTACAAGTTTGAACGAAATAATTTCACAGCCAAAAAAAAGGAGTCCCAAATGGATCAGCACCTCCGTACCTCGTAACGAATGGTCCAATCCAGCATCAAAATTGTGCTCAGCAAATTATCATACGCGTAGTATATTAAATACAGTTTTGTTTAATCAAACAACGCATATAATCCCAGATAACGCTGTAATTATCGAAATTGCACCAGTTAGCATTTTTCATGACATTTTGATAAAATCGGTACATTCCAAAGTAACGAACATTGTATTGACTAAGCAAAATGAACAAAATGCTATCAATTTAGCATTGCAAGGGATTGGAGAACTCTATAACTATGGTCTTCAACCGCGAATTGCTAAATTGTATCCACCGGTGAATTTTCCAGTTAGCCGAGGCACTCCTATGATCTCTCCATCTATAAGGTACAATTTGTTTTTAAAATTAACCTATTGCATATGAAAATAAACATATAAATGTATAAACAAACATTCTAATATTATTAGATGGGACCATTCTGAAGATTGGTTTGTAAATAATTATCAAAAGCAAAAGACCATCAAATCCAAAGAAAGACAAATAGAAATTAAGGTAGATAACGAAGATTATAGCTATATGACCGGTCACGTCATTGACGGAAAAAATTTGCTACCTGCGACATGCTATCTAGTGCTTGTTTGGGAAACAATTGGAATGATAATGGATAAAATATACACATCAGTACCAATAGTATTTCAAAATATAAAATTTATTCGGGCTACTCATTTATCAAACGATGGCTCTGTTAATTTGACAATTGTGATACAGAGAGGTATGTATAAAATTTTTTTTGTTCTAAAGAAACTTTAAATAATATTACAACAACATGTAATATTCCATGCAAAATTATTGTAGAAAGCGGCAAATTTGAAGTCACCGAAGGAGACAGCGTTGCTGTAACAGGTGAAGTACACGCTGTATCAAATGCCGAACAAGAAATGGTGCCGAATGATCTGTTGTCGGTGGATACTGACGAGGAAGAACATATGACTTCTCGAGACATTTACAAGGAATTAAGGCTACGCGGTTACCAATACAGTGGTGCATTTTGTGGCTTATATAGCGCATCAGTCTCAGGCAGCAAAGGACACATCACTTGGACAGGTAATTGGGTGACATTCATGGACAACATGCTGCAAATGTCTATAATTGGAAAAGATACCAGAGACTTATATATTCCAACAAATATTGAAAAATTGGTAATTAATCCTGCACTTCACGCATCAAAATTGCGAGACGTGACATCCGAAAAAAGTAAACATAAATTTTTTATTTACAATTAAATAAATATTGAAAAAATTATTATTTAAAATGCAATATTTCTAAATTATCAAATTGCAGAATTACCAGTACGTGTATATAAAGAAATAGACGTAATTAAATCAGGTGGAATAGAGATACGTGGCATGAAAGCTATCTCGATTTCTCACCGAAAACCAATCGGAGATCCCGTCATCGAAGAACATAAATTTATAGCTCATCAGGATCGCGCTAATATTTCGTTAAGTGAAGCAATTCGAATATCGACGCAGCTGGCGCTAGAGGATCATCAGATCATTAAAGCAACAGCCATAGAGCTAGTGGAAGATGCAGATGATGTAATGTTAGAAGATCTATCATCAACGTTACTGATTGAAGCTCTTGCTGATATTCCTTTAATTCAAACAAATATTGCTATACTAACATCACCGAATCGTTTCAATCCAGCAGAACTGTCTTCAAATGTTTTGATCGCAAATTTCAACAAACCATTTGTAAGCGACAAAGCTTTGATAGTTACAGGATTTAATCTTTTGACGAAACATCAGAATTCATTAAAAAAACTTTTGCCACTTTTGAGGGACGGAGGTTATCTCTTAACACGCGAGAAATGCAATCTAAATATGCAAAATAAATATGAAAAATATTTGAGTGAATATGCATTAAATGTTATTCTGGAAAAGCGTACGGATAAAGAAATAATTATACTATTGAAGAAAAAGGTTGTAATAACAAAAACAATTCTTGTCTATATAAATAATAATCATTTCAATTGGCTCGAAGACTTGAAGCAACTTGTAGACGACGAAAATAAACACGATGGCAATAGCAGAATTGTAATTGTTGGAGAAACGGACTTTGAATGCGGTTTATTGGGTTTTCTTAACTGCTTGAGAAAAGAGCCTGGTGGACAGCTGGTTAGAGGTGTGCTTATTCAGGACAAGCATGCTCCTAAATTTTCTCTACAAGATCCATTCTATATGGAACAATTACAAAAAGATATGACTGTTAACGTTTTGCGACCTAATAAAATTTGGGGATCTTACCGACATTTGCGATTACCGCATCCAGAAGTAGAATACGTAACTACAGCCTATGTCTGTCAAACGGTATATTAAACCATTTGTAAAAATTTAAATTATTATTAAAGTGCTATTGATACAGTAATATTGCAAATTATTTTTTTCAAATATTTTTAAAAATTTTTCTGAAATGTCCCGCACTTTATCTAACGAATTTATTTACTTGTTTAACGAACATTTTCCTACAGGTTCGTGGTGATTTAAGTTCTTTTTGTTGGATGGAAAACGATATATCAATCGATTCTGATGGCAAAGATATAGTACGTGTGATTTATTCGTCTATCAATTTCAAAGATGTACTGCTAGCAACAGGAAAATTAACGTCGGATATCGAAATATTTAGACGATTACAAAGCATGAGTCTTGGATTTGAATATGTCGGTTTTGATGTCAATGGTCAGCGAGTTATGGGACTTTGTGACAATAAGTACAAAACTATATAATATTATATATGTACAACTCTTTAATTTATTGTAGGATTTGTGAATAATACTTTTGATGTTATTGACTTACATGATTTAAAAATTTAGTCTAATAAAACTGTTATTTTGCTTTTTTGTATACGAGGTCGTTATTTTATAATTGTATAATGAGTAATTTAATTAATTTTTTAATTTTTAATTTAATTAATTTAATATTAATGTTGTTATTAATGTTGTTAATTTATTTAATAATAATAATATTGTTATGTTCTTAGGTGCATAGCGAATGTCGTTGTACGAGATAAAGAATTATGTTGGAATATACCCGATTCATGGACATTTGAAGAGGCGGCCACAGTGCCGTGCATTTACAGCACTAATTATTATGCCTTATATCATTTTGG